GGGGAAGGGGGAGGGGGAGGGGGAAGGGGAGGGGGAAGGGGACTCTGAAATAAAGAGAGAGAGGAGGGTTGGTGATAGCAGGGAGATAGTGGTGGGGATTGGTCAGTGAGGTGGGAGGAGCGGATAGGTGGGAGAGAAGATGGACAGTTCAAGGAGGCGGGGATGAGGTCGGGTGTGGGGAGATTTTGAAGCTAGTAAAGTCCACATTGAGACCATTGGGTTGTGGGCTTCCAGTTTGCGGGTGGCATCATTGTGACACTGGAGGAGGCCCAGGATGGACATGTCGTCCAGGGAGTGGGAGGGGGAGTTGAAGTGGTTCACGACTGGGAGGGGTTGTCATTTGTCGCGAACCGAGTGTAGGTGCTCTATAAAACGGTCTCCGAGCCTTCGCTTGGTCTCACTGATGTAGAGGAGGCCACATTCGGAACAGCAGATACAATTGACCTCGAAACTGATATCTATTTCAAGGCCACTGACTCCCACAGCTACCTAGACTATATCTCATCTCACCCACCCTCCTGCAAGAATGCCATCCCCTACTCCTAATTCCTTCGCCTCCGCCACATCTGCTCCCAAGATGAGGCGTTCCACTCCCGAACATCCCAGATGTCCTCGTATTTCAAGGACTACAACATCCCCCCACAGAGGTCGGAAATGCCCTCGACCACATCTCTTGCATTTCCCACACCTCAGCCCTCACACCCCCTCCCCGCAATAACAACAAAGACAGAATTCCCCTTGTCCTCACGTATCACCCCATCAACCTCCGGATTCAACATTCATCATTCTCCGCCACCTGCAATCTGACCCCACTACTAAGGATATATTTCCCTCCCCACCCTTATCTGCCTTCTGGAGGGATCACTCTCTCCACGACTTCCTCGTCCGCTCCACACTTCCCATTAGCCCCACCATCCCAGACACTTTTCCCTGCAACCGCAGGAGGTGCTACACCTGCCCCTACACCTCCCCCTCAACTCCATCCCAGGCCCCAAGAAAACCTTCCACAGCAAACAGATGTTCACCTGCACATCTGCTAATCTGGTCTATTATATCCGCGTTCCCGATGTGGACTCCTCTACATTGGTGAGACCAAATGGAGGCTCGGAGACCGTTTTGTAGATCACCTACTCTTGGTTCGCGACAAACGACAACTCCTCCCAGTCATGAACCGATTCAATTACCCCTCCCACTCCCTGGACGATATGTCCATCCTCGGCCTCCTCCAGTGTCACAACGATGCCACCCGCAAACTGGAAGCCCACAACTCAATGGTCTCAATGTGGACTTTACTAGCTTCAAAATCTCCCCACCCCCGACCTCACCCCAAGACCAGCCACCCCCCCATTCCTACCTCATTGACTGTCCGTCTTCTCTCCCAGCTATCCCACCTCACTGACCAATCCCCAGCACTACTCACCTACACTCACCTTTTACTTGCTTCATCCCCGCCTCCTTGACCTGTCCATCTTCTCTCCCACCTATCCGCTCCTCGTACCTCACTGACCAATCCCCCCCACTACCTACCTGCTATCACCACGCCCCTTCCCCTCCCCTATTTCTGAAGAGGGGTCCCGACCTGAAACATCAGCTTTTCTGCTCCTCTCTTGCTGCCTGGCCTGCTGTGTTCCTCCAGCTCCGCACTGTGTTATTATGAATATTTCAATGTTGTTTTAAAGTTTTGAAGTACAGTTTACAGTATTGGTCACCTTATTAATGAAGGATGTAAGTGTTTTGGAAGCGGATAAGAGGTTTTCTAGACTAATGCCTTGAATGGGACAGGCTGCACTATGAGGAAACGTTAAACAGGCTAGGCTTATATTCACTGGTGTTTAGAAAAGCAAGAGGCAACTTGAGTGAAACATATAAGATCTTGAGGGGATTTGATGGCTTGGATGTGAAGAGGATGTTTCCTTTTATGGTAGTATTTAGAACCAGGATCTAGAAATTGTAGAGGAGAGTTGAGGGACTGAATGGCCTATTCCTGCTCATTACTTGTATGTTCATGTTATGTTCACTATCCTCCTCACAGGTTGCAAACCTTCCAACTTTAAGTTGCATATCACCTGCAAACTTTGAAATTGTCTCCTGTGCTCCAAGATCTTGATTATTAATATAAATCAGTGTGATACAAGGTTTGTGATTTTTATATATTTTGATATCATTTATTTTAGAGTTTGGAGTTTGACCTAATGGAATGTGGGTTTATGTCTGTGCATTTGAGGGAGTTAATGATTAACTTGCCAGTATTCCTGGAACACTTTTTAAAACCAGTTTGAGAGATGGTTCCTGCAGTGCTAATAGGAAATTGTTGACAAAGAGAACTTTATGAGCACACAGAGCAAACATGATAAGCATTAGCCAGCTTTAAGTTAGAAGGATACAGAATTAATTTTTTGTTTGCATTTGGAAAGCATCCATGGCTTGCAATTTTTTTCATTTTGGTTCACAGAAGACTCAGTTGAAGTTGGATGTAAGAAATAATTTCACCTAGAGAAAGGAAAATTCAGAACAGTTAGGAAATAACATTGGTGTTGATCATAATATAGCAAGAGCCCCAAAACACCATCCAACCTGAAAAATATCCATCAGCTACTACTTTCCGGTTCCTATCACACAACCAATTTTACATCCACATTGAAACTGTTATTTCTTTTCCATGAGCTATAACCTTTCTCAGTACAATGCTGCACAACAATTTTGAATATTATTTGGAAGACCATGTACAGCTGCATCAACAACATTACCTGCATTAATACATGCTATTACCTCCTTAAAGAACTCCAGAAAGTTAGTTAAACGTAATTTTCACGAAAGAAAGAGTCATAGAGCACAGAAGCAGACCCTTCAGTCCAACTTGTCCATGCCAACCAGTTTTCCCAAACTAAACTAGTCCCATTTGCCTATGTTTGGCCCATATCCCTTTGAACATGTCCTGGCCATTCACCTGTCCAGATGTCTTTTAAAAGTTGTAACTGTTCCTGCCTCTACAACTTCCACTGGCTGTTCATTCCATATATGCACCATTTTCTGTGAAAATGTTGCCTTCAGGTCTCTTTTAAATCTTTTCCCTCCATCCTTAAAGCTATGCCCTCTAGTTTTGAACTCCCCTACCCAGGCTGTTCACCTTATCCGTGCCTCTCACGATTTTATAAACCTCTATAACGGTCACCCTTCAACCTCCTACGCTCCAGTGAAAAAAGTGCCAGCCTATCCAGCCTTTTCTTATAACTCAAACCCTCCAGGTCCTTGTAAATCTTTTCTGCACCCTTTCCAATTTAATAGCATCCTTCCTATAGCAGGTCAACCAAAATTGCAT